ATCGGCAGAGCAAGCATCAAGCTCAACGACTCGTACCTTCGTTCTGCCACCTCTGCAAGACGTCAGGGCATCCTCGCATACATTGCCCGAATCAGCAGTAGTCAACGCCACCGCAACGTCAACTTTGGCCTTCAAGTAGTCAAGTTGCCTCCACACAAGCACACCCCACCGGTCAAACGCACTCTTCGACGACACCGACGACGCGACCTGCACAAGGCGCAAGAAACATTGTAAGCTGCATGGCGAGATTGATAAACTCCTGCATCACCGAGTCACCGCCACACTACTCACCGGAAGAACAACTCAACGAAAGCATTCCTCGTCGCGAGTCACTGGAGCCGAACCCGACGTACGCAGCCATCGCCCAGAGCGAGCCGTCCGGGAAAGACACCTGGTTCTTGGACAGGTGCTACGGACAGCACATGTGCTCCTCGGGTCGCTTCGTCCAACGAGAACACCAACTGCAGCGCGAAGTCGTCATCACCGTCGCCAACAACCAGAACCTGCGCACACGACGACAAGGCATAGTACAACTTCAGTCACGAGAAACCAATGTCATACTGCAAATGTCGAAGGTCTTAATCGCGGAGGGACTCGGCTACAACTTACTCAGTGTCAGTCAATTGATGGCGAAGGGTATTCACCTCGAAGCAGACAGCACCACCCAGGAGTTCAAGTTGTATCACGGGAGAGGAGGACTTTACATCGGCAAGGCGGTCTTGAAGAACAACGTCTTTGTTCTTGACTTTGTTCCAGACCAAGGCACTGCCGACAGCGACGCCATCGTCAACTTCACTTCTTGGACACACCCGCCAGATTTCGACCCCGACTTCAGTCTCGAAGGCTTCTGGTATTCGCACACTATACCTGAAACAGAATGAACACGAGCGTTAGCAACAATTCAACAACTGGCAGCAGCAGAGACAACATCGGCAGCAGCAGAGACAACATCGGCAGCAGCAGAGACAACATCGGCAACAGCAGAGACAACATCGGCAGCAGCAGAAGCACCACCGGCACCAATCGCTGGTCCCTCAACAACACCGGCCGTCATCGACGACACACGACCAACTCCCTCACAACAACTGACTCCAACTCCACGGGAAGTTCACAGAAGCGCCAACTTCACCGCGAGCTTCTATTCCAACTCCGACTTGTATAGGTGCTCACCCGGACATCGCGCTAGCGAAGATATGTGGCACGCACGGATGGGACACCCAAGCAACACAACGTTAAATAATACTATAAGAGCCGGAGTACTCGACAAAGACTCATTTCTCCTACACGACGGGAGAGAACTTCAACGAGTTCAAGGAACGTGCTTCACCTGCCCTCAAGCTGACTTACCGCATCAGCTGTTCATCTCTCACCACAATTTGAGTGCCCCAGCATACGCACCACTGGAGAAAGTGTACAGCGACATACTGTACAACCGCGAACCTGGACAAGGAGCGTATGACTACACCATCACGTTCATCGACGCGGCCACACGATACGTCTGGCACCTCAACCTCCCGAGCCAGGATATGGCCTTTGAAGCCTTCGTCCCCTGGCTTCCAATAGCAGAACGGGAATCCAGAGTGAAGCTAAAAAGCTTCCAGTCAGACGGGGGAGGAGAATACCAGTCACAACGCTTCAAGCAGTATTTGGCAGAGAGAGGAATCAAGAGACTCATCTCTCTCCCCTACGCCCATCAACAGCAAGGCGTAGCAGAAAGGATGAATAGGACACTCTAGAACACCATGCGCAAACTGCTACGTGGCATGCTGCTACCCAACCACCAGTGGCCCGAAGCAATGGACCATGCTGTGATGCTGCACAACTTGCTTTCGTCGTCATCACTCCCGAACAACGCCTCACCGCATCTGCTGTGGACAGGGAAATTGGGCAACACAAAAATGTTACGAGTTTTTGGCTGCATGGTACAGTACCGACCACACACTGCACGAGCCGGAAGATTTTCGCAACGTGCACAGTGGGGACTACACCTGGGCATCGAAAAACATTACAACGCGTGGAAGATATTTGATGTCCACTCGAAAGAAACAGTGGCAGCACGTGACGTTATCTTCTACGAGCGACTCACCCTCCACACGTACCTGGCCAACCTGCGGGCGAACCAAGACCCCACAGACGGATTTCGTGGCAATCGAGAATTCGCCTCGGCAGCAGACGAAGCTGACTGGGACGAACAAAACGTGGACGGAGCATCGGAGGAAGCCGAACCTCTTCCCTACTGTTCGGTCGACGTCCCAATGGACGACGAAAACCCTCGCGAAAGCATCAACGCCGAAGTCTACTACGACCTCGCCGACAATGGTTACGTTACACCCGCGCAAGTCAACACCGACGAAGCAGAACGCATAGGACCCAACTTCGTACCTGATCCAGAAGCGGGAGACGAAGCCGTCTATCCCGAGGACGCCAATTTTCCCCGCTACACACAGAGCGGGCTGCAGATACTTGGACTTGTCACCGCGGTCCACGGAGCAGCGCCACCTAAGGAGCCTGCCACGGTTCAGCAGGCTCTGGGGGGGGAGCACAGGGAAAAATGGCGCGAAGCCATGGACAGAGAATTAAAAGCGCTGGAAGAACGCAACACCTGGAAATCGTACCCATCGGAGTGGCACGCAACAAGACAGCTCTCACCGGAAAATGGGTTTTCCGTGTGAAAACCAAAGCAGACGGCACCATCGACAAGTTCAAAGCGCGCTGGGTCGTACGCGGCTTCGACCAAGAGCACGGACGGGACTTCACTGAAACGTTCGCACCGGTCAGCTGGCACACCTCATTGCGGATTCTCCTCGCAATAGCCGCCATGAAGCAGAAGAAGCTTCGCCAAATCGACGTCGCCAACGCCTTTCTCTACGCGCCTGTCGACGCTAAGATCTTCGTCGAACAGCCACACGGCTCCGACGCAGACCCCAACCAAGTGTGTCAGCTACTGAAATCCGTGTACGGCATCAATCAGGCCTCGAAACTGTGGCAGCAATACTTGCACGCCTGGCTAATCCGTATCGGATTCCGGCAACTACCGCATGATCAAGGGATGTATCGCCTCACGAAAGGCACCGACTACATTCTGCTCATCGTATATGTGGATGATCTACTTCACATCGGCTCGACCGACGGCGTCACAACCTGGTTAGAAGGGGAGCTGCAGCGGGACTTCACGCTCACCGTTTCGTCTACCGTCACACAGTACCTGAGACTCAACATACAGGAAGAAGAAAACGCGATCCATCTCAGCACCGCGAAGTACGCGGACAACATCGCCAAGCGCTTCGGATTAACTCCAGCCATCATCACCACGCCGTATCGCTTCACCAACGAAAAACGCAAGGAAACCTCCGCGTCACTCAAGCCCGCCGGCATACGTGACTATCAGCGAAAGCTAGGGTGTCTGCTCTTCGCAGCCGTCACCTGCCGACCGGACCTATCGTACTCAGCGAGCCAACTCGCCACCTACCTCAAGAAACCTGAAGCAGAACACATGGCGGAGCTTGACCGCGCACTCCACTACCTCGTAAGCACCCCAACAATCCGCCTGACCTACCACAAGACCGGAACTACGACGCCTAAGCTAATCGGCTATGTGGATGCTGACCACGCTGGCGACTCCGAGAACACGCGCTCACGCACCGGCTACATTTATCGACTCGAGCCTATCGGGCCTATCTCGTGGCAGTCGAGCAAACAGGAATTAATCGCTCTCTCCTCAGCTGAAGCAGAATATATTGCACTCTGCTCAGCCACCAAGGAAGGCCTGTACCTTCGCGAACTACTGGAAGAAGCGAAGCTGGCTCAGTTACCCAGCTTCTCCTTATTCTGCGACAACCAGTCAGCAATTCGCATAGCAAACAAGAACGAGTTCGCGAACCAGACGAAACATATCGCCCTGCGATATTTCTTCGTAAAAGACGAGATCGAGAAAGGGAGACTCGAGCTATCTTACTGCCCCACATCCGAGATGGCATCCGACTATTTGGCCAAGAAACTTGGAAAGCAGAAGTTCGAGTACTGCATGCTGCAAACAAGACAAGGCCACGTCACCAGCAACGACACTCCAGAAGCGAAGGGGAGTGTTGGAAACAAATGATTTAATGCTTCTTGCGTATCGCAACATCGAACTGTAAACGAGGCGAACTACAGTGCAGCAGCAACGAGTCAACCGAGAAGGTTGACAGAAAGGTAACAGCTGGAGGTTACGCGAAGGTCAAAGGTCAGCGACCTTTGACTCGACAAATACAGCGCGACAGCAAGGACAAACAACTGACTCGATATTGAGCAGTTGCCCGAGTCGCACTGTATCGAACCGCAACAGCAGCAGTTACAATTGCAGTTACAAATAAGCAGTTAGTTAAACCTTTCGTATTCTCTTGTAATCTTATAAAAGCTTGTGCTTTCTTTCTATAATCAATCTATCTTGCCCTCACATACTAGCGCAAGGTGGTTCAAACACTTATCATGAAACGCTTCCGCAATTACAATACCTTTATCAGGAGTTCTAGCCCTGAAAGATCCTAAGGGCTTTTCTCAGCCCAACACGCAATGTGCCTGGCGGTGAAACCGTCAACCTGCACCTACTTGGTAGGTGCGCACATCTGCGCAGATAGACACCTGCGACTGCGGTGGTGGCAGACTACCTGCCGCTGGCAGATCGCTCTGCTGCAGCGTCGGCGAGCCGCTCTTTTGCTGTGCTGGCAGAGTTTGCTTTGCAGAGTGCTTGCTAGGGGTTTGCATGTCATTCTAGTCATATCAATTTGCATGCCTCAATGTCCTCTAACATTTTCAATGTTCTTTCAACTTCTTAAGTGGAACTCTTGCTAAACTTCTCTGTGAACTCAAGCAAGTAGTAAAAACGCTACTAGAGCGCTGCGATCGCCTGCACAACCCCGTGCCCTCCTTCATAGGCTACTTTCGTTGTGTAGTGACTCTCCGCAGCGAGAAGGCGGCGGCAGCGGGAGGGCTGCGGCGGCGAAGGGAGAAGGCGGCGAGGGTTAAGGGGGAGGATGGTTGTATGGTCCGAGGGAGGAGGAAGCGAGGGGGAAGGGGGAGGGGGACTGGATGGCCCGAGGGAGGAGGAAACGAGGGGGAAGGAGGAGGGCAGGATGGCCTGAGGGAGGAGGAAGCGAGGGGGAAGTGGGAGAGGGGCTGGATGGACCAAAAGAGGAGGAAACGAGGGGGGAGGGGGAGGAGGGCTGGATGGCCTGACGGAGGAGGAAGCAAGGAGGAAGGGGGAGGATTGCTGGATGGCCTGAGGGAGGAGGAAGCGAGGGGGAAGGGGGAGGAGGGCTGGATGGCCCGAGGGAGGAGGAAGCGAGGGGAAAGGGGGAGGAGGGCTGGATGGCCCGAAGGAGGAGGAAGCGAGGGGGAAGGGGGTAGAGGGCTGGACGGCTCGAGGGAGGAGGAAGCGAGGAGGAAGGGGGAGGAGGGCTGGATGGCCCGAAGGAGGAGGAAGCGAGGGGGAAGGGGGAGGAGGGCTGGATGGCCCGAGAGAGGAGGAAGCAAGGAGGAAGCGAGGAGGAAGGGGTGAGGAGGGCTGGATGGCCCGAGGGAGAAGGAAGCTAGGGGAAAGGGGGAGGGCTGGATGGTCCGAGGGAGGAGGAAGCGAGGGGGAAGGGGAAGGAGGGCTGGATGGCCCGAAGGAGGAGGAAGCGAGGGGGAAGGGGGAGGAGGGCCAAGGGAGGAGGAAGCGAGGGGGAAGGGGGAGGAGGGCTGGATGGCCCGAGGGAGGAGGAAGCGAGGAGGAAGGGGGAGGAGGGCTGGATGGCCCGAGGGAGGAGGAAGCAAGGAGGAAGCGAGGAGGAAGGGGTGAGGAGGGCTGGATGGCCCGAGGGAGGAGGAAGCTAGGGGAAAGGGGGAGGAGGGCTGGATGTCCCGAGGGAGGAGGAAGCGAGGGGGAAGGGGGAGGAGGGCTGGATGGCCCGAAGGAGGAGGAAGCGAGGGGGAAGGGGGAGGAGGGCCAAGGGAGGAGGAAGCGAGGGGGAAGGGGGAGGAGGGCCAAGGGAGGAGGAAGCGAGGGGGAAGGGGGAGGAGGGCTGGATGGCCCGAGGGAGGAGGAAGTGAGGGGGGAGGGGGAAGAGGGCTGGATGGCACGAGGGAGGAGGAAGCAAGGGGGAAGGAGGAGGGCTGGAGGGCCCGAGGGAGGAGGAAGCGAGGGGGAAGGGGGAGGAGGGCTGGATGGCCCGTGGGAGGAGGAAGCGAGGAGATAGGGGGAAGCGCCGTTAGGTGCGTGGGCGGAAGCGACGGCAGCAGGGCGCCGTTAGGCGCGAGGGCGGAAGCGGCAGCAGCAGGTGGCGACGCGGCAGACGTGGAGCGCCAAAATCGCTGCAAAATCGCGTCCGCCCGGGGGAGAGGAGACACGACGGGCAGAAGTACCTGGGTGGGGAAGGGGTAGCTGGGTGGGGGAGAGGTAGCTGGATGGGGGAGAGGTACCTAGGTGGAGGAGAGGTACCTCGGTGGTGACTCGGGCTCCAAAGAGCCATCCTGCTCCTCGAGGGCTGACAGCCCACGCCTCTATGTCCTCTGGATCGCTCCACATCAGATCTGCCCCGCCCCACATGACATGGCGTGGTGTTCTGAGGGAAGAGGAGAGACGAGTTGATAACGTGTGGAAGTGGGGCTGACGGCCCACGTCTCTATGCCCTATGGATCGCTCCACAACAGATCTGCCCCGTGTGGCGTGGCGTGGCGTGGTGTGATGTGGTGTGGCGTGGCGTGCACGGCGAGGCACAGGAAACGAGGTGCGAGGAGAAGCAAGAGTGGGAATGAGAGGATATAGCAGCGAGGAAAGCATGGGGGGAGGAGTTGGATAGTTTTGTAAGAGGTGGATGGTGTTGTGAGTGGGAACAGGAGAGATGAGTTGATAAGGGGGGGGGAGAAGGAAGAGGGGGTGAATAAAGTGTGTGGGGAGCAAAAAAAATTATCCACACGCAAAGCACCACCTACTTGAGGCATGGCCAGTGCTGCCAGTCAAAGTTCAAACCAAGGGCGAAAGAGGAATTCGGGAGTTATGGCACAGAAAGTCTGCCACTATTGAGGGGTGGACATAGAGGTGGGAGCAGGGAGCAGGGAGCAGGGAGCAATGAAGGTGGCTGGCAGGTAACCGCAGAAGGGGCCCTCATGTGGAATCTCGCACTTCCGCTCCACTACTCGGATCTCAGGCATAGGCAGGCACACACAGGCACACACAGGCACACACAGGCACACACAGGCACACACAGGCACACACAGGCACACACAGGCACACACAGGCACACACAGGCACACAAAGGCACACACAGGCACACACAGGTAAACACAGGCACACACAGGCACACATAGGCGCACACAAGCACACACAGGCACACACAGGCACACACAGGCACACACAAGCACACACAGGCAAACACAGGCAAACACAGGCATACGTAGGCACACGCAGGCACACGCAGGCACACGCAAACACACGCAGGCACACACAGGCACACACAGGCACACACAGGCACACACAGGCACACACAGGCACACACAGGCACACACAGGCACACACAGGCACACACAGGCACACACAGGCACACACAGGCACACACAGGCATACACAGGCACACACAAGCACAGGCAGGCACACAGAAGCACACACAAGCATAGGCAGGCACAGGCAGGCGCACACATACACGCAGAGGCACATAGAGGAACACAGTGGCACACACATGCACACGCAGGCACACGCAGACACACAGAGGCACACAGAGGCACACAGAGGCACACAGAGGAACAGAGAGGCACACATAGGCACACGCAGGCACACACAGGGACACACAAGCACACACACGCACATACAGGCACAAAAAGGCACATAGAGGCACACAGAGGCATACAGATGCACACAGAGGCACACACAGGTACACAAAGGCACACACAGGCACACACAGGCACACACAGGCACACACAGGCACACACAGGAACACACAGGCTCTCACACGCACACACAGGCACATACAGGCACACACAGGCACGCACGGGCACACACGAGCACACACAGGCACACACAGGCACACACAGGCACACACAGGCACACACAGGCACACACAGGCACACACAGGCACACACAGGCACGCAAAGACACACACGGACACACATAGGCACACACGGGCACGCATGGGCACACAGACGCACACATGCACAGACGATTATGCATGAGATGCAGCAACAAGGAGACGATGAGAGGAAAGTGAAGGATGGGACAAGAGAACGAGAGGAGTGGCAGAACGACACAGGCAGCAGGAGGGCCGGGATCAGGGCAGCAGAGGGCAGCAGGGGGCCCCTGGTCCCGTGTTCGGACGTCTGGTCAGAGGCCCCCGTGCACACATAGCACCTATGTGATGTGATGTGATGTGATGTGATGACAGGGTGGAGAGTAGACAGGGGAATGGTGAAGTTTTGAGTCGACTCAAAGCAGAGGACACTGATCAAGTATTAAGATGTCTGGTGAGAGGCCTGAGTGCGCACATAGCACCTAATGACATGACACGGTGGAGAGTAGACGGGGGAATGGTGAACGCTCGTGACACAAACAGTGGCAGTAGAACATGCAACACTGTAACAAGTGACAGAGGAGAAGTGGAATGCAGAGGAGAAATGTAATGCAGCACATGAGATAGTGCATCCAAGAGATCATGCAAGGGTGCACTGGAGGAGGGTGGGGAGCAGTGCATGCGAGGGTGCAAAAGAGAGTGCATTGGAAAGTGCATGTGCTCCCCCGTCATCACGAGTGGGCGGGTGGGTGGGTGGGTGGGTGGTGGCATGGAGCGCAATGCACGTGGCCGTCGATGATGGCGGAGATGCTGAGGAAGTCAAAGACGTCGGTGTAGTAGCGCCACGTGTTGGTGTTGCCGTACTTGTGCTGGCACTCGTCGTAGAACCCGTACACCTGGTGCCATGCCGTGGGGTGGGGTGGGGAGGGGTGGGGTGGGTAGGGTGGGATGGTCATAGAACCCGTACACCTGGTGCCCCGTTAGGCCACGGCAGCAAACACAGGGGAGAGGCCAATGGTGCTCACATGGTGAGGCGTGACCCAGCGATATGAGGGGTGCATGGGAGATGAGGGTGCATGGGAGATGAGGGTGCATGGGGCGTGTGAGGCACAGGTGACATGAGGAGTGGATGTAAAATCAGAGGCGAGTGCGATGACAGTAGATCTGAGACGCAGAGGGCAATAAGCGGTGGACAATACATGCTGACAGACACGACCAAAGCATGTGGTGCTGCACAATACGACCACCGGCAACTGTCCAATGCGTGCCTGTAACTTGCTGACCAAGAGTTGTGTGGCAGCATGTGGTGGTGGCACATGGGCGAGTGGCACATGGGCGAGTGGCACATGGGCGAGTGGCACATGGGCGAGCAACACAGAGTGAAGCACTTGCATGGGAAAGGCAGGCGGCTAGGGAAGCACATGAGGGCGAGGAACCCAGAGTGAAGAGAGGAGACAGCAGAATCATCTAAGGCAGCAGGCCAGAGGATAGCACGACACTGCAATGCAAACCATAGCCCATTGCAGCCGCCGGCCTCGTTTTTACGATATCACTCCTACACCCTTCCCTGAGAACCCTGCCCAGATTCACCCCACCCAGCCTTTCATCTGCCCCTTTGCACCATCTGCCCACTCACCTGCGCCTTCAATCCACCTGCCCTTGCACCTGTGCCTTGGCCACACATGCACTTCACGTGCCGCTCACACCACCTGTTCCTGAGTGCACCTGCCCTTGCGTGCGCCTGCCCCTAAGCGCACCTGCCCCTGAGCGCACCTGCCCCTGAGCGCACCTGCCCCTGAGCGCACGTGCCCCTCAGCGCACCTGCCCTTGAGCACACCTGCCCCTGAGCGCACCTGCCCCTGAGCGCACCTGGCCTTGAGCGCACCTGCCCCTGAGTGCACCTGCCCCTGAGCGCACCTGCCCCTGGGCGCACCTGCCCCTGAGCGCACCTGCACCTGAGCGCACCTGCCCCTGAGCGCACCTGCCCCTAAGCGCACCTACCCTTGAGCGCACCTGCCCCTGAGCGCACCTGCCCCTGAGCGCACCTGGCCTTGAGCGCACCTGCCCCTGAGTGCACCTGCCCCTGAGCGCACCTGCCCCTGAGAACACCTGCCCCTGAGAACACCTGCACCTGCGCACACCTGCCCTTGTGCACACCTGCCCCTAAACGCACCTGCCCCTGAGCGCACCTGCCCCTGAGCGCACCTGCCCCTGAGCGCACATGCCCCTAAGCGCACCTGCCCCTGAGCGTACCTGCCCCTGAGAACACTTGCCCCTGAGCGCACCTGCCCCTAAGCGCACCTGCCCCTGAGCGCACCTGGCCTTGAGCGCACCTTGCCTTGAGCAGCATGAGGACGGTGAAGACCTCGAGGCCATTGTACCCGTGATCCACAAAATCACCCAGCCATCCCCAAGTGCGAGCGCACACGTGTATGAGTCTATATTTGAGTCGACTCAAAAAAAGAAGACCTCGAGGCTATTGTACCCGCGATCCACAAAGTCACCCTGCCATGCCATCCCCGCGTGCCAAGGCACATGGCAGCGAGGCGAGATGCGAGGGCACACGACAGCGAGGCAAGATGCGAGATGCAAGGGCAGAGCAGCACACGAATTACCAACAGAGGACCAAAGGGAAGGACGAAACAGAGGGGGTCAAAGGGAGGGAGCAAATGACTAGTAAGGCTTCAATAAATGCAGTTAACGGGGGCGGGAAGGAGATACCACAAAGACGTAATTAGTGGAGGGCACGGGGCTGCCAGTGTCAAAGAGCTTTATGAGGTCGTGGAACTGGCCGTGGATGTCACCGCACACCGTTACGAGGCCGTTCACCGACTGCACGTTCGACTCCTCCACTAGAATCTCCTTCACCTGCTCGCCCACGTGCTGCAAAACGGGAGCAATGTCAAAGCGGGAGGAATAGGCTTAGGTAAGGAAATCAGGATATGAGGAAACGACAGTCGCAATGTTGTAAACGGAACGTATCTAGAGGCAAAAGCCATTCGCGGAGCTTACGTATTAGCGTAGCTTACGTATTCGCATAGCTTAGGGTTTGGGAGCTGCGACGCCGCAATGGGTTGACCCCTCGCGGTCCGATTGGCACGAGCGTGGCTTGGTGGTGGGATGGGTGATGAGGTTGGAATTGTGGCTGTTCGATTACCATCCTGCGGTCCCTGCCTGTTTCTCAGCTGCACGGGTGCTCCTTGCCGGTTCTCTCCATTCCGTCTCCCAGTTCGTACTCTCTCCCCTTCTTCATCTTCACCCTCGCTACCGCTACTTGGAGCTTGTTGTTCTTCCCTATAAGTAGGATCTGCTCCTTCTTCTTCATCAGTATTCTCGTCTAGCAGCGTTAAAGCCCGTTGACCCGTAGCTTGGAACACATTCTCAGATCCCCCTCCTATACTGCTTCCTCCCCTTCGCTCCGTGCCCCGGCGCCTTCCTCCTCGCGATGGTGATCGCCGACCCGCTTGAGCCGTCGGCACTGCGCGCTACTGCTGCGTCAGTGGTGGGCAGAAGGTCCCCGCCGATGTCTGCAACGGCGACCGCCGCGGCGAAGCCGCCTGTGCCGCCAGCTCCGAAAATCTTGTCGCCGCCCGCCAGGCAACCCGCTCCACCGAATCCTGATCCGCTGGCTGAAGAGTCACATCCCGCATCTGCGGGTGCCTCTCTCGCTCTTGCTTTTCAAGAGCCTGATCTCCCTGCTCTGGTCACCGATCAGCATCCTCCAGCCGCGGCTGCTGCATCGTCGAAAGCCGTCGTCCCTACTGTCCCAGAAGGTGCCGCTGACCCTGTTGCTCCGAGCGGCGACTTGGCGCTGGCGGCGGTGTCCGCCACCACTAGCAGCCTGACCCTGACGGTGGGGTCTAGTGAGGCCATTCAGTCGACGCCTGTAGCGCCTCCGATTGCGCCATCTGGACAGCAGCGTCGTCCCCAGTCCCCCGAATGCCGCCTGTCTCGTACACATTCGCCCTCCCCGCGAGATGAGCGCGCCGACATGAGTCTCCATGGCACTGCCAAGGGGAATTGGCCCGCGTGCCGTGGTGGGCGCGGGGGCTGGCGGGGAGGTCGCGCTCGCGGACGTGGCGGGGTGTTTGATGCGCTGGTGACGCTCGCGGACGTGCAGCAGATAGTGATCGCGGCGATGCGCGAGTGTGACGCTCGGGCCGGCACGGCGGACCTGACCAGCTCCAAGCAGGTGGCACCATCGCCAGTTGCTCCCCTTCCTGCTGCTCGTCTTGTTGTTGCTCCCCTGACAGATACACCTCCCCCTGCTGCTCCTGCTGCCTCGGCCCCTCCTCCTCCTGCTCCTGCTGCATCAACTGCCGCTCCTGGACCTCGCCTTCGGCAGGGGCAGGGTCCTCGCCTGCCGTGGGTACCTCCTGTGGTCGGCATGGAATCTGTGACCGTTGTAGGAGGAGCAGTGATGGCCCAGTATCCGTCCCTCCTGCCCGTCGATCCTGCTCCTCGGGTTGTTGGAGTTGCGCAGCCGTTCCAGACGTTGGTGGCTCCTCTTCCTCGCGCAAAAGTCCCGGAGGCGACCTTGGGGCAGCTGTGGCGCCTCTCTGAGAGTCTGCGGGCGATTCACCTGATCCAAGTGTACAGCCACGTAGCTCTCTCCCGCAGGAACACTCTGGATGGCGGCCCTCGCGACGAATGTCTTGATGCCGCTGATCAACTCGCGGAGCTCTTGGCGACCGTGTAGGCTGCGCCCGCGTGGGGTGGAGTTGCAGGTGTTGGGCAGCTTGGTACGGTTGTCCGTGCTTGCGGCGGTTTTTGCACGCAGGGACTGGAGTCGATGTGATCGCCGCAAGCACGGTGGTGGTGCGGGAGTTGCATCGGACTCTGACGGGGCTCCTTGCGGTTCTTAACACGGATCAGATGTAGGATCCGCTGATGCTTGTCCCATGGTTGCCCCTAGTTGTTAGATCCCACTGTAATGGTTGTATGCCTATGAAATATAGGAGGTTGCTGTTTGTGTTGTGCTTGCCGTCCCCTCACGCGCGGCCGATGGCCACTCCGTCGAGCGTCGGCCGTCGAAGGCGGCTGGCGCGAGTTGCAGGGTTAGAAGAGATGAATCCACAGCCTGAATAATGAGAAAGGAACCAGGCCCAAAGCCTTATATACCAGGAGAAGGAGAGGAAAAGAGGCTAAGGGACCAAGGGACTAGGCATCTCTCTCTCTCTCAAGCAATCCTTCATTAATAGTATACGAGGTACTGAACGACAATGCATGTAGGAGCCATAACTACTGAGCATGAGAGACCTGCCTAGGTGTTGGAATGGGCTCCTAAGCATGCAATCCAGAAGAAATCATGAAGCCTAGGACCTGTACCCCCGCCATGATGGTGTGTGGCTGTCCCGGCTTAGGCCTTCTCCCCTTGGCCCCCCCCCCCTTCCGCCCCTCACTCTAGGGGCTCCCATGTCACTCTAGCTCCAAGTCATCCTCAATGACTTGCCATAGGTTGCCCAAGCGAGGTTCCCATGGGTCAGCCGCTGCCTAGGGGAAGGCTCTCTCCGTGGCCCTGTTAGACTTTGCCAGGGATGTGTTAGCCTGGCTCCGCTGCAGCATCACCGACCAGCACTGTCGGTAGTGGGCCGCGAGTTTGGAGGCTACCATGGTGAGCCTCCCTTGCCTAAATTTCTTCTTAGCCGCCTGGGTGCCGAGGAGCCTTAGGAATCTCTGTGTGTCTCCCGCCAGGGCCCCATATGTCTCTACGGCCAACCCCAGTACCCCCACAAAGACTGGGCGGCCCTCGTACATCCCCCTCTTTCCTCTTGCAGCATCCTCTGCCACCCATCCTGGCGGCTTTACCGCCCTGGTGTCGCGGTGTTGCAAGACTGGGTCCGCCACTGTCACGTCAGTGACCCACGTCTCGGGTGACTCCCTGTCCTTGAAGGCCAGGTCCGCTCGCTTGGGGTTGACTGGTTGCGAGTAGACCGTGGTCTCATGCAAGGTCATGTAGTCGGCCTCCCTTGCCATGCGCAGCGCCGCATACACAAGGGTGTTATGTGTGTTTGTCTTGTCTTTCCCCTCCCCACACCGCACCAAGTGGTTCGACAGGCTGAGGTCATCTATCTTCCCCCTTTCTCCTTGGCACAAGCAGCTGTCGGTCACCGGCAGGGTCAACCCAAATCGGAAGCCCAGCGCCAACGCAAATTGTCCTGGTGAGAACGTAAGGTCTGCCCGTGTGGGGATGGCATGGAGGCAGTCCCTCGCCCCCACCCCCTGTAAACTGATCAGCCAGACCACGTGGCAGTTGTCCTCACCAGGTTTATCCATCCGAGTGTTGCCCACCAGCTCAGCCGCCTGCTCCAGGTTAATGTGCCTAGACAGTTGCTCCAGCAAGTGGCCCCTCCCCCCTCCGCTTTCCCTCAGTTCCCCTAGAAGCTCTTGTGCCGCCTGCGGGAGTCTGCTCCGCAGGTCCCGCAGCGTTGCCCCCCCTCTCCCCGCCACTCCCTCCCTCAGGGGTGAGACCAGCGCTGCCACCTGCTGCAGTTGGTGATTTGAGGAGGGCGGTATTTGCTGCAGGAATAGCTGCGCGGCCCATAGTGACGCGAGGTATGCCGCTAGCCCCACGCCTCCCAACACAATGGGCAGTGTCGCCTGCCTCCACACCGGGCTCTGTTCCAGCTCTTTAGATGGTATGTTGAGGTGGGCCACCCTCAGCGCCGTCCACAACAACCTCTCACTCCAGCCACGCCACTCCACGAGGGGCAGGACGTCCGCAGGTGTAGTGCGCAGGAGGTAGGAAATCCTGCGTGAGATGCATCGGGATAGCAGCAGCATCACGTGTTGCGGGTGCAGCTTGCTGACGAGCCGTAGTGGCAGGGCAATCCACTCTAGCGTTCCCCTTAGTATGCGTCTGCAGTATGCCGTGGTGCCGATCGGACTCCCGAGGACCTGTACTCCGTCCACCGCTGACACGAGCCCTTCCGGTAGGTCTCCCGTGTTTCCTGATAGGCTCCACGCCGATGACTTGGCCAGGTTGCAGTGCAGGCCGAGTCCGCCGAGCTCTCAGCTGATCATGTTAAATGCCCTTGTCACCGCCGCTGGCTGTCCAATGATTGTGATGTCGTCGGCGTACGCCATCACGGTTACGCTCGGTACCGCCACCGCCGCTGCCAGCAGGGCCGGCTGTATTGCTACCGTAAAGAGCATAGGACCGAGCGGGTCCCCTTGCCTAACGCCCCGTGCGCTTTTAGTGGAGCCGAAAGTGAAGCCTTTGTCCAGTAGCAGCTTCGATGGTGCGCCATACAACGTCCGCGCTAAGGGGAGGAGACCGGTCCACCGCAGCGTTGACAAGAAATGTCCGCGTTCCACCGAGTTAAACCCGTTTTCGACGTCTAGTTGCAGTATCGTTCTCGTCGGGTCTTCCTCCAGCAGCGTTCGTGCCGTGTGTACAATACACTCCGCCCCTCCCAGAACCGCCACACCGTATTGCACTGGTATGAAGTGAGGGGGATTTCTCCTGATAGCTCTCTCAGTGCTGCCTTCGCCACAAGTCTAAGAAGCGCTTCCCCTATCGCGATTGGCCTGACGCCGCCGTCCGGTTTTTCTAGGGCGATTAGCCTCGATGGCAGCAGCAGCTCCCTTAGTGGTTCGTCCTGGTACGTACCAAGAAGGTTGTTGACTGCGTCGCGAAGCAGCATGAATACCTCCCCGTTTGTTAATGCTCGGAGGTGTTCGAAGCATGTGCCAGAAGGGCCTGCCCCTATTCCGTTTGGGCACTTCGCCAAGACTTCGCATAATGATTCCGCGCTATTGGTGAGTGCGGTTTCGCCGTAACCCCCTAACCCTTCAGGTATCGCCACCTCTGCCTGTGGGTGTTTCGCTCGAAGTATGTCGAGTGACGTTTGCGACGGTTCCGCCAATGGAGATGTTTGTAACACTGCCGCTGCCTTTGCCAGGTTGGCCTTCCGGACCAACCCCTCTACCCTTGCACAGATGCCCTCAGTGTCAGGTTCGTGTCTGCTTGGTTGAGAAATTGCGGGGAAGGTGCAGGCTTGGAGGTACAGTCCACCCCAATCTTCGTCTCGGAATTGTCAGAGTCGTTTCTCCACCGCGTCATAGTTATTTTCCGGCAGTTTCTCCGCACTTGCCCTTGGTGTGAGCCTTGGCTGGAATTGCAGGATTCGTCACGCTCCCATGCAGCCCGAATGCTTCCACGGTCGCAGGAGGGGAATGGTGAGACAGTGGCTAAGGATTTCAGGATCTCCGGGGGAAGCTTCCTAATCAAGAATGGTTGGGAACTGGCGCGGAGTGGGTCTAGATCCCAGCTCTCCACCGCCCGCCACGTGTCGTCATCTTCTGCGATGTCACTAGGTGATCGTTCCTTGTTGGCTGCCTCATTGGCCTGCTGAGCTGGTGATTCGCCCATCTGTCCTGCAGTGTCTGAATTTCTTCCTTCCCACCCTCGTCTCCCACCACATCCTCGTCTTCCTTCGTTGCCAGCGGGGACCCCATCCTCTGCCTCTATAGAGACCTCTTTCGACTCCGCCTCTTCCTCCCCCATATATTCTGACTCATTTTCTCCCGCAGAGTCATTCATTGGTTCTGCGTTCTGCTCCTTTGGCCTCCCGTGCCTTTCCCGCCAGTTCCCTGATCTGGCTTTTTCCCTTGCGACGGATCTCGCTAGCTCCCCTACACGTCCCCCCCTGCCCTGGCCCCTGCCGCGTCCCCTCGTGGCCGTTCTTCCCGCCACGTTTCGCGGCTGCTGGGCCATCGCGCGATCTTCCGCTTGCTCTCGTAACGCCCTCTGCCTGCTCGTCTCGTTCCACAGCATGTGCTGTGCTGCTGTCGCTGCCGCTATCTGCTCTTCCTCCCTGTCTTCATCGATCTGATCCGTCGTTCGGTGTTCCTCCACTGTGCCTCCCTGTGCGTGCAGGTCTCGGTGCGATGATGGGCAAGGGACGTCCCTCGTCCCGGTCGGAACGATCGGCCGGTCCTCCTGTTGCTTCTAACCCCTCAAAGGCCCAGGACGGGCTGGCGCCAGCCTTGCTGCGAGCCGCCGCTGCCCTGGTCGAGCACGAGGGGGCCGGGATACCCTCCAGTCGCCGAGAGCCAGCCTATCGTTCTCCCCGCGGGCGGACTCATCCCCATCTCCGGACCCTTTCGCCATCGCCGTCCGCCTCGACACCCTCCTGCTGTCCAGCGATAGATTGTTGGGCCCCTTCTTCAGCAGCCGCCGTCCCATCGCCTGGTGGCGTCGTCATCCCCCTCACCGTCTGTGTCTCTCCAGTCGTCTAGCATTGCAACTTTCACCTGTTGCCTCCCAAAGTGTCGCAGCCCTCTCCAGTGCCGATGGCCTCACTCTCGGCCCTGCCATCTCCCTTGCCTCCTCTGGCTCCTCTTCCACTGGCGCCGTCTGCTGGGGCACCACTCGTGCCTCCCGTCCGTTCTCTGTCTCCCTCTGCGTCCCTTCCTCTGGTTGAGCTTCCTCAGTGGCAGCATCTCGTCCCTTCCGAGCATGTTCCTGTTGCCCGCTTTCCTCCTCCTCGAGCTCGGTCTCCCGAGCTTCCTCCAGACGCTCTCGACACCGAGGATGACGAGCGGTGGTGGAATGGGGAGCTGTGGGAGTCTCCGCCGCAACCCGCGACCTTGTGGAGCCGGGAGTGGGACATCCAGTCCAACTTCATAAAAGACGTCCTCCACTGGGAGAAGCGCATGGTAGCAGTTGGCGAGTGTCTTTCGCACGTGGCGACATCCCTAGAGCAGCTGCACGCCGGCTTGGAGGCGCGGAACTCCGTGCTCCAGGATCCCCAGCTAACGGAGCACCAGCAGGGTCTTGTTCGTGAGCCTGCAGCGCAGGGTCTTTGGCGCCTCCTCCATTTGCCCCTGGGATCCGAGCACCCTGACATGAACGAGGGGCCGGGCGCGCGGGCCTTCCGCCAGGCCGCCAGGGCAACCGAGGAGGCTCCGCTCCAGCTCGTGCCTGCCCTCGCTGTCTTGCTCCGCTGGATCCGCCGGCGGTTTTACGTGTTGAACCGTGTGTAGTGTCCCGCCCCTTCTGGGCTTTGCCGCTTGCCTTCTTGTTCCCCATACCCCCGCCCTCCCCGACTTACTGTGCCCTTGTCTCGAGGGCCTATCTAGTGCTACATGATGTATAACTTACTAGTGATGACTGTTGCTTGCTTCTTGCCACCCCTCATGCGCGGCCGAAGGCCGCGCTGTCAAGCGCCGCTAGATTCTGAGAGTGCAATGAACTCAACGGAGAATAATGAAGAGAAAGGGTACCAGGTGCAGCTTATATACAAGGAAAGGCTAGGACAGAGAGGCTGGGAGAGGCTAAGGGACCAAGGACTGGCACTGGGTCTGTCACGTCTGTGAGCCAGGTTTCACCAGACTCCTTGTCACGGAAGGCCAGGTCCGCCCATTTAGGGTTGACAGGGGGCGAAAGGGCGTTCGTCTCGTGCAAGGTAGTGAAATCTGCCTCACGTGCCATGCGTAGCGCCGCACCAGCGCGTTGTGGGTGTTGGTGCGGCCCTCTCCACCCGTGCATCTCAGTAGGTGATTAGGCCGGCTTCTACCTGCTATCTTGGAAAGTTTGCCGCGACAGGGGCAGTGCTTTGTGACTGCCAGGGAAAGGCCGAGCCTGAAGCCAAGGGCTATGGCAAATTGCCCAGGCAAGAAGGTGAGGTCCGCTCGCGTGGGTATGTCGTGTAGCCAGTCTCCTGCCCCCGGCGCCTGCAGGGCTAGGAGCCGCACCACATACCCGTTGTCTTTTCCCGGCTTATCAATTCGTGTGTCCCCTATCAGTTATGCTGCCCTGTCCAGGTTGACATAACGTGATAGTCCTAGCTGCAGCCGCCCCTTCCCCCCCCTCTGGTGGTGATGCTCGTGCAGAAGTTCCTGTGCGCTTTCCGACAGCTTGCTCTTGAGGTCGTGCAGGGTCTCCCCTCCCTGTTCTGTCCCCACGGTGCTTTCAGGTGACACCAGGTGTACATCTCGCCTCAGTGGGTGATCTGGGTGCTCACGGATGCCGCTCAATGGGGTGTGGGCCGCGCACAAGGATGCTAGGTAGGCTGCCGGCGCCTCTGATACAGAATCTATCAGACCCAGGCCGCCTAGGCACACTGGCAGGGTCGCCTGCCTCCACACTAGGCTCTGCTCGATCTCCTTTCTTGGCACGTGTAAGTGTGCCGCCCTTAGTGATGTCCACACCAGTCCCTTGCTCCACTCCCGCCACTCTTCTAGAGGCAGCGTGTCTGGTGTTGTGCGGAGCAGGTACGAGATGCGCCTGGCAATGCAGCGTGACAGCAGGAACAACGTGTGTTGTGGGTGGATGCTGCCGATCAGGTCCAGCGGCGTCGCCACCGATTCCAGGTATGTCGTGATCATGCGCCTCCCGTAATCCCTGATCCCAATCGGGCTCCCCAAGACTCGGATGCCGTCCATTGCTGCCACCAGGCCGTCGGGTAGATCGTCAGGTATGCCTGATGGGCTCCATGCTGATGACTTCGCGAGGTTGCACTTAAGGCCGCGGCAGGTTAGGTGCCTCGTGATTATACCTAGTGCTAATGCGGCCTCGGGTGCTGCTCCCACGGTCGTGATATCATCAGCGTAGGCCATGACCGTGACAACAGGAAGCATGTCGGCTACCACCTGGAGTGCCGGTTGGATGGCTACTGCGAAGAGCATGGTGCCTATTGGGTCTCCTTGGCGGACCACGCGTGCGCTTTTGATGTGTGGTGTTGCAAAGCCTTGATCCAGTGGCAGGCAAGAAGGCGTGCGATAGAGTGTGCGGACTTGTGGTATAATGCAGCCAAGTCCCGAGAAATGCAGGGACTCGAAGAAACCCGCCCGTTCGACCGAGTTAAATGAATTTTTGATATCTAGCTGCAGCGCCACTCGTTTTGGGTCCTCGGTTAGGAGCGCCCGGACCATGCGAATAATACACTCTGCTCCTCCAAGTACTGCCACTCTGAATTGCACCGGTAAGAAGTATTCTCGGATGGGCACACTCAGCTCCCATAGCGTTGCCTTAGCTGTGAGTCATAATATCGCTTCTCCTATGGCTATGGGTCTGACGCCTCCGTCTTGTTTCTCCAGGGCTATCAGCCTAGACGGTAGCAAGAGTTCCATCAGATCCACTGGCAGGTGGGTGCTTAGGACGTGGTTGACGACGTCGTGCAGGTATGTAAATACTTCACTGTTTGTGAGAGCGGGGTCTCGTTGATGCTCAAAGCATGTGCCTGAGGGTCCGGCTCCGATTCCATTGGGGCATTTCGCCAGCACTTCACGAAAAATCTCCGCCGACGTCGATAGGTTGCTTGCGGAAAATCCCGTTACCCAGTTCTGGATGTCGTTCCCCGCCTCTGGGTGCTTCGCCTTAAGTGCTTCCAGGGTCGCGTGTGAGGGTTCTGCGAGTGGCGATGTCAGTAACGCTGCTACCGCTTTGGCCAGATTCGCCTTGCGAACCAGACCCTCAGCCCTCGCACAAATGCCTTCGGGGTCTGGCTGATGACGGCTCGGTTGTGGGTTCTGGGGTATGGTGCAGGCTTGGGAGTACAGGAGGTCCCATTTCTCCAACTTGAACTGGTCCAGTCTTGTTGCCACCTCGCTCCACTTGTTTCCAGGTACTTTCCCAATGCAAGCTCTGAGTGTGAATCGTGGCAGGAATAGCAACATTCGCCAGGCTCCTTGGCAGGTTGGTTTCTTGGAAGGTCATAGCAGGGGGATTGTGAGGCAGTAGCCGAAGATTCCCAGAATGTTGGGGGGAAGCTTCCGCACCAGGAAAGTTTGGGTGCTGTTGCGTAGGGGTGACAGGTCCCACTCCTTCACCCTCTGCCACGTGGCCTCATCATTTGCGATTTCCGATGCCGAACGTTCTTCATTGGCTGTCCTCTTGCCAGCATGTGCGCTTGATTCGGCCACCTGTGCGGGTTGTGCGTTTCGCGCTCTCCTGTGCCCCTGGTTTGCGCCGATGTTCGGGACCCCCTCTTCTGCCTCTAGGGAGATATCTTCTGAGTCCCCCTCCTCTGATTTGATATATTCCTCGTCGCTTCCCTCCTCCCCTTCATTCATTGGGTTAACATTCTGCTGTGTGCCAGTCCGTTCTGGCCTTCCGTGTCTTTCCCGCCAGTCCCCCGATCTGGCTTTTCACCTCGCCACTGCTCTCACCAGGTTCCCCAGGCCCCCTCCTCTGCCCCGGCCCCTCCCTCATGCTCCCCTCGCTGCCGCTCCAGGCGCCCTCGTTTTGCGGCGGTCGGCCTGCCGCACACTGGTTGGCCTGCGCCCGTAGGGCCTGCTGCCGGCTCGTTTCCCCCCGGTGGCGGTTGTGTCGCGTCTCGGCCCTTCTCTCCATCGCATCTTCTGCAGCACTCTCCCTCTCGTCTAGAGCCTCCATCGCGTCTTCTCGAGCTTCTGCTGCAATCTCACGACAGCATGTTGATGACGGGTCGGCGCCATCTCCTGCCTCGGCGGCCGCCTGGGGCGAGTCATCTTGCTGCGTCCAACCTACCAGAGGCCCAGGTCGGGCAGGTGCCAGCCCTGCTCCGAGCCGCCGCTGATGTTGTTGCGGCCGCGGCGAGCGGCAATTCTTCCCGGGCGCCTGTCGTTTCGTCTGGGTCTCGGGAGCCGATTTATCGTTCTCCCCATGGGCAAACCCATCCCCATCTAAGGGCCCGTGGCCAGTCATTCCGCCGCCGGCGCTCTCCCCGGCCGTCGCAGCCTCTTGCCCCACGGTCAGCGCGGTCCCTGGCTTAGCCACCGCGGCCTCAGGCACCGCTGGCTCTTCACTCGCAGCCTCAGACGCAGCCTCCGCCGCCTCCGCAGCTTCCTCCGCCGCAGACCCAAGCCTCCTCGTCGCAGCAGCAGCACTCGTCTGCGTCAGCACCCCTGTTGCCCTCCCCGTTGATGGCGCCGTCTGTCTCATCGGGTCCGAGTTTGGTGCCGACACCACAACCGCCGCCAACGTGGGCGTCCCTTCTGGCACCCCAGCCGCCGCCGTCCTCGTCCATGCCGTCGTCGGTGGTTCCCTTGCCGACGGGCGCCGCACCGGTCGCACCTCCTCCGCCTCCACCGACCCTGGCCGTACAGCCTCCATGGCCGCCTCCTTCTCAGCTTCCTCCGTCGGCGCCATGCGCGGATCCTCCCGTGGTCCCTCCCGTTCCTGCCGCCCCACCGGGCAGTGCTGGGGACCAGGGGCTGCAGCGACAGCGTCCTCTCCTTCCGCTGGTCGTGCCCCGGGTGCATCGGTTTCCCCGCTGCTCTCCTCCCGGACTTCCGGACGATGCTCCTGACCCGCCGGAGGAGTGGTGGCTAGAGCGGGATACTTGGACCGCCCCTGCTCAGCCCGGGTTTTTGTTGGGGCTGTGTGCCGCAGACACCCCGATAGTGGCGAACATTGTCCGGTGGGAGCGGCGCTTGTCAGACGTCGGGGAGTGTCTCTCACTCCTCGCGACGGTGCTTGACCAACTGCATGCTGGCCTGCAGAGCAAGCCTGATGTTGCGCGCAATCCCCAGCTCGATGAGGAGCAGCAGGGTGTGGTTCGTGCTGCTGCCGCCCAGTGCCTGTGGACCCTGCTCCACCTGCCGTTGGAGAGTGAGGCCCCCGCCGAGAATGAGGGCCCGGGTGCGACGCATTTCTAGAGGGTAGCCATGGCAGCTGAAGAGGCACCCCTCGGGCTCGTGCCTGCGCTCGCGTCTGTGCTCGAGTGGCTGCGGTTGCGCATTTACCTTCTGAACAGGGTGTAGGCGCAGGCTGCTTCGCGCCCTTCTCCGTCCCATTCCCCTTTCCCATTGTGGCGGTTCCTGGCCGCTGTTGTTGTTGTTATCCCCAGCTTTTAGTGATCCCTATTGTAATGCTTCATGTTATACTGTGTCCTCCCCTCTTGATTCCTTGTCGCCCCAAATGCGAGCCGCTGGGTTGGGAGGAAACCAACAAACCAGGAACTAATGGGGTGAAGGTGGGGAAGAGGGCCTTTAGTAGGGGGTTGTAATGCTTAAAGGCCTCATGGCGGGCTACACTACGAGAGTGAGTCTTAAAGAAGCATAGAACAGCCGCTATACCACTCTATACTATGCTGAACTAAGCTGAACTTAGGCTGTAGGGGATAGATCGGCCGCGAGCCGCTGGGTCAGGAGAGATGAACCTCCAAACTGAATAATGAACCAAACCGAGGTGCCCAGGGCCTTTATACTAGGGGCTGGAGGGGATGAGAGGCTAAGAAGCTAAGGGAATGCCTCTCTGTCTCTCTTTCTCTCTCTCGCTCTCTCGCGAGCCGCTGGGTTAGGAGAGATGAACCTCCAAACTGAATAATGAACCAAACCGAGGTGCCCAGGGCCTTTATACTAGGGGCTGGAGTGGATGAGAGGCTAAGAGGCTAAGGGTTGTAGACATGTAGACCCCAACAATGTCAAAGCCCGGGATCTAAGCATACTAGCACATCCACGGAATGCAGGCAAAGCACCCTAAAGTCGTGTACCCTGGACCTGTTGGCCAAGGGCCTGTTTGGGACCTGCTAGCCTTGTCTGGGGTCCCTAGCTCCCGCCCCTCACATATCCAGGGGCGGCCCCTAGTCCAGGTCATCCTCCAAGACCTGCCAGAGATCCCCTAGGCGGGGTTCCCACGAGTCAGCCAAGGCCCTTTATGTTGCCCTGTTGGACTTTGCCAACAGCGTGTTGGCCTGGCTACGCTGCAGGGTTACCGACCAACGCTGTCGGTAGTGTGCCATGAGCTTAGAGGCCACCGTGGTGAGCCTCCCCCGCCTGTACTTCTTTTTGGCCGCCTGGGTGCCAAGGAGGCGGAGGAACCTCTGGGTGTCGTGTGCCAAGGCCCCATAGGTCTCGACTGCCAGCCCAAACACGCCTACGAACTATGGCCTGCCCTCATACAATCCCCTTTTTCCCCTTGCCGCATCCTCTGCTGCCCAGCCCGGCGGTTTTATGGCCCGAGTGTCACGGCGCTGCATTACCGGGTCGGTCACTGTGACGTACGTCACCCAGGTCTCGGCCGACTCCTTGTCCTTGATGACCAGGTCCGCTCGCTTAGGGTTGACGATTTGCGAGAAGGCGGCGGTCTCATGCATGGTCATGTAGTCAGCCTCCCTTGCCATCCGGAGTGCAGCGTACATCAGTGTGTTGTACGTGTTTGTTCGGTCCTTTCCCTCCGCGTACCGCAGCAGGTGGTTTGGTAGGCTGCAGTCCTCTATCTTCGACCGCTCCCCATGGCATGGGCAGTTGTCTGTCAATGGCAGAGTCAGTCCTAGGCGGAAGCCTAGGGCTATTGTAAACTGCCCTGGCGAGAACGTCAGGTCCGCCCTCGTGGGGATAGCATGGAGCCAGTCCCCCGCCCCTCCTCATTGCAAGCTGATCAAGCGGACGACATGACCGTTGTCCTTCCCCGGTCTATCCGTTTGTCGCCCACCAGTTCAGCCGCCCGGTCCAGGTTGATTTGCCTTGAGAGGAGCTCCTGCAGACGGCCTTTCTCCGCTCCGTTCTTGCCGACCGCCCTCAACAGTTCCCGTGCCGTTTCTGGAAGTCTGTCCCGCAGTGTTGTCCCCCCTTCAGCCGTTACCCCTTCCCCTTGTGGTGACACTAGTGACGCCACGTGCTGCAGTGGGTGGCAAGGTGTGGTTGACACCTGCTGCAGGAATGTCAGTGTCGCCTTCAACGGTGCCAAGTACGCCGCTGGCACCTCTGATAGCAGATCTATGAGACCCAGGCCCCCTAGCGCAATTGGCAGCGTTGCATGTATCCACACCAGGCTCCGTTCGAGCTCTTTGGTTGGCGTGTACAGGTGGGCCGCCTTGAGTGCCATCCACAGGAGTCTCTCACTCCACTCTCTCCATTCCCTGAGAGGCAGCACGTTGGCCGGTGTCGTTCGGAGGAGGTACGAAATCTTGCAGGAGATGCATCGCGATAGGAGCAGCAGGGCGTGTTGCGGGTGGAGCTTGCCGATGAGGCTCAGTGGTGCTGCTGTTGACTCTAATGGTTCCTCTAACTGAGCGCCTGCAGTACGCTCTTGTGCCTATTGGGCTTCCCAGCACCAATACATCGTCCACTGCTGCCACCAGTCCATCCGGTAGGTTCTCCGCGTTTCTGGAGAAGCTCCAAGCAGAAGATTTGGCGAGGTTGCACCGAAGGCCATATCCGCTCGTTGCGTATCATGTTGAGCGCTCTGACTGTATCTTCCGGTTCGCCTACAATCATGATGTCGTCTGCGTACGCCATCACAGTCACGGTGGGAACCGCTTCTGCTGCCGTTTGACGCACTGGTTGGATAGCCGTCACGAAGAGCATGGGCCCTAGTGGGTACCCTTGACGAACCCCTCGCGCACTGTCTTTAAAGGGGGTCTCAAATCCGCTGTCAACGAGGAGCTTCGACGGTGCGCCGTACAGCGTGCGGACGAATGGCAGTAGCGATATCAGGCCGATCCATATTAGCATCGATAGAAAGCAGCTGCGCTCCACCGATTTAAACGCGTTTTCAATGTCTAACTGCATAATGATCCTCGATGGTTCCTCCACTAGGAAAGTGTGTGGCGTGTGTATGACGCATTCTGCCCCCCCCCCCCCCCCCCCCCCCCCCCCCCGTACAAATACTCCAAATTGCACTGGCATAAAATAGGCGCGGGTCTCCCTCGATAACTCCTTGAGCGCCGCCTTAACCGTCAGTCTAAGTATCGCCTCCTCTATCGCTATCGGCCTTACACCTCTGCCCGGCTTCTCGAGTGCTATCAACCGGGATGGGAGCAGAAGCTCCTGCAGATGCTCGCTCTGGAAGTGCCCAGCAAGCGGTTTACTGCCTTGTGTAGCAGCATGAACACCTCCCCGTTGGTTTGGGCTCGGTCCCGTAGGTGCTCAAAGCACGTGCCGGATGGGGGAGCACGTACAACTGCTGGTCGACACCGACCTGGTGGTCAAGTCGGCGCCGACCTGGGAAGGTTTCCAGGTTGACCAAGAAACCAGGGCGACAAAGCGACGAAGTCTGCGGAGGAGCGTGACGATCGCCCAGGTGGTTCTGGCGAAGCCGACCTCGGTGGTGGTATCCCGAGGTCGACGTAGCTGATCAAGTGCAGTGGATAGCGCGTGGACGACCTGGTGCTCTGCGCTGTGCGGGTGACGCGGCACAGCACGCCAATCATCTGCGTGCACCTGAGAAGCGGGTGCGCTGCTGTCTTGCGTATGCAACACTGTGCAGCCGCCTTGCTGCAGCGTTGGCACGCCGTCGACTTGCAGCGTTGGCAGGCCACGACTTTGCACTTATGGAGCGCGGATGACCATGTCGTGCTGGAATGCGATCGACCGTCCTGTGCTGGCAGTCGACCTGCATGCTTGCTAGCTCTGATGTAGTCAACCTTGCCAATGTTGCTGCAATCATTCTGAACCTTTTGTTGTGAACTTTTGCTAGTGAAACCCTTGCCAAATCTCCCCGTAATTGTGCAAGTAGAGGAAGCACAAGTGAACGACTAAGGAACGAACGCAGAGATCACCTCTCACAACCGTGCCTACCCCGTAGTATAAGCTCCCGTTCTAGTTATCTCCGCAAACTTCAGCGCCATCAACCCATCCACCCCAACCTGCCCCACCTCCAGCCTCCCATATCCCCCCTCTCCCTCCTCCTCGCATAGCCCCCGCGCAGCAGCCAACACCACCCGGCTCCCCCGAAGTGATCAACACACCTCCTCCTTCCCCACCCCACCCAACCCAGCAACAACGCCGTTACCTCTTCCGCCCCTTCTCTGAAGTTATCAACCCACCAGCCCCCACCCCTCCTTCACCACCTCCTCCTCATCTCCTAGTCATCTTCACGGCTCCCGAATCTGAAGCACCAGCTACTTCTCTGCCACCACCCATACAGAATTTGCTCAACGGTTATACGGACGTGTTTCCCGATGACCTACCCACCGAACTTCCACCTGATCGTGCTATTGACCATAGCATCCGCCTCATTCCAAGTTCTACACCGCCCGTGCACCCAACCTATCGCATGAGCACTGCTGAACTTTTGGAGCTACGACGACAACTCGATGACCTTCTTAAGAAGGGTTTCATCCGCCCTAGCACCTCACCATATGCTGCCCCCGTGCTTTTCATTCGCAAGAGGGAGGGTTACCTGCGTCTTTGCATCGACTACCGCGCCCTCAACACCATCACGATCAAGAACAAGTACTTGCTGCCCCGTGTCGAGGAGTTGTTCTACATGTTTGGGGAAGCGACGGTTTCAGCAAGCTCGACCTACGCTCCGGTTACCACCAGATCCGCCTCGCCGAAGACGACATCAACAAGACGGCCACTTCGAGTTCCGAGTACTTCCATTCGGCCTCACCAACGCACCAGCCACGTTCATGGGACTCATGAACGATATTTTTCGGCCTTCCTCGACCGCTTCGCCATCGTGTTCCTTGATGACATCCTCATTTTCAGAAAGTCACTCGAGGAACACGCTCAGCACCTACGCATCGTCCTCGATACGCTTCACCAGCACCGCCTCTACGCCAAGCTCTCCAAGTGCACCTTCGCCCGTTCAAGCATCAGTTTTCTCGGCCATGTCATCAGCTCCAAAGGCATTGCTATGGACCCCGCAAAGGTCCAGTGCCTTGCTGATTGGCCAGCACCACGCACGGTAGCGGAGCTGCAAAGTTTCATCGGCCTCGCCAAGTATTACCGAAAATTCATCTTCAACTTCTCCCACATCTGCGCCCCTTTAACCGATCTCTTCTGTCAAGGAGCTGCTTTTCAGTGGGGACTACCGCAGTAGACCGCTTTCACCGCGATAAAAACGGCACTCACATCTGC